TTCTCCTGTACAGGAGCCCTTCCGTCTGCCCTAACTTAAGTGCTGTGTTATGTCTAACACTCAAGTCTGACATAAGCATAGGGAGATAGTTTTTAAAAGCTTTTATTTTCTTTCTTGATTGTTTTTCTTCATGGTATTTAGGCTGAAACATATCTCATAAGACTGTAAAAATATCCTGATGACTTTTTTCCCTGTTTCACACAGCGTTTTTTAAGTGTCAGCCAATTGTCTTCACCAGGACAATTTGAAATATATACAAAACAAGAGATCATTGTAACAAACTCTGATGCAACAATTACCTAGTTCCAACCACTATTAATTTGTGAACTGACAATTTTATATCATGCAAAATCCCACCCACATTTTCCCTAGCCCAGATCATTTGCAAAGTGTGATTTACCAGTTTCAGGCAGCAGAGGCTCATATATCATAGAATTTAAGTCTTAGGTTCATTTGCATCTACGTAATTATAATATATAAATATAATAAAATAAAATAACAATATAATAAATAGGTAACTTTATATGTTACATAAATGTAAATAATATAAAATTCAATATAAATATAATAAAATATCACGATAAAACCCATCAGCATCTAGGCATATATTATGTTGTAAATTTTTTAGTCTTTGGGGTTAGAGTAGTAGCAGCAGACATTCTGCCATATTCTTCCAACTTACTTTAGGAAGAAATGACATATGTGCCCCAGCTCCTCAAGATTTCAGGTTATTTTCAATTTCTCTCATTATCTCTAGAAATTACTACTTCCACATTGCAAACTTGCTGTTTTTAAACCATATTGCCTCTCACATGAAAATGCAGCTGGAGAATTATTAAACTCTAAAAAGAAACAAGAGTTAAATACCAGTATTGGTTGAATCTCTGTCTGTCTGTCTCTCTCACACACTCATACACATACACACACACAATTTTGAGTATTTGGGGGTCAAGAGCTTATAAACAAGCAATTTATACATATTTCCATGAGGAAGCTGAACTAATTTTTAAGGCCAACAGTATTTTGTGTCATCAAAAGTAAAAATGACACACACACACACGGACAACTGGATCCAAGAAGGACAAAGCTGTTTTTCAGCACTGGCTGAGCAGCCCTCCCCATCTATGTTTAGCAGCCACCCAGGGCGTTCTCTGTATTAACGGATGACCCCATGAGCACTGGCCTTGTAGGAAGTGAGTGAGTGAACCCTGACATTGTGGGAAGTGATATTGGCAAAATCAGTTCTCTTGCCAGTGGTATACAACCTTGCTTTGACATGACTGCTGGGCTAATAACATGGATCTCCCAGGTACAGGGAAACATCGAATTTTCCTATCACTCACTGTATATAAAGGTGTATTGCCTTTCTCCTAAAAAACTGAAACCAAACCAAAATGATAACCACACACATCACTGAGTTTTGGTGAAAGTATTTTTCTGATTTTGCATTTGCAAATGTATAACAAAAACTTAGAAGCTTACAATTCAAAACTTCCTTCTGCAAATACTTGGCAAAACTGATGGCCCAGAAAAGAGAACCTCATTTCCCTTTAGCACCCAATCACGGCCCAGATACATAGACCCCAGCAACCAAGTTCTCAGTATCATCATATAGTCAGAATTGCATTTTCTCTTTTTATGATAAGATACATATTTCACCAGGGACATGAGGAAAGTTTTAAACCAAACAAAATCAATGAGTGTTCGATAATACAACAGACTCTATAGTAATACATCCTTAATAATAAAAATTTGAATGCAAAGTATTTGGCAATGAGCTCAGACTCACAGAACACCTGGAGGTCTCTTTTGAGCTTTTCATGAATCATATACCATCATGCAACTCTTAATATTTAAAACTTTTTTTACCCTGCTTACAGCGTGATGTTGAGGATTTCCTACAATTCCTATTTGCTACTTTTTGCTCTCTAGTTTGGCATCCTGTGGTCTCCCTTTCCAGGATCCTTCACCATTACATTTCCCCCCCCGACAGAGGTTTTATACTTCCTAAGAAAAAAAGCTTTTTGCTGATGCCATCCAATCTTTCTCTCTGCACACAATGGCTTACTTTGAAGTTCTCTCTTCAACATCTCCTTCACTGAAGTGACCTACTACCTCATTTTCTAGGGCATTGTTTCCAGTGTATTATTACACAGAGAAGATCTGGAAACCTCTTTCACTTTAAGTGTTAATAACTGAGAAGAATTAGTTTGCTACCCTGTACACACAGGCCCTCGGAGATTTGCATTTTAATAGAGGACAATTCCTTCATAACTCAAAGGAATGGAATATCTCTAATGGTGGAATTTCAAGCATCACTGACACCAGTGGAGGAAATATTTGGGATGAGGACACTTAACACCAAACCATAATATCTCATGATACAAGACAACTATCTTTTTCACCTAGACTTAAGCTTAACCTGAATAGAAGCCGGTATTCATGTTTGAACAAGAATTAAAGCACAACTAAATATAAAGCAAAAATCTAAGCTGTTGAACAATACTATTTCTTAATGGGCTGCATTGTTCTCTCTGAGCTTAGCTTTGCAAAATGGTATATGGTATATTATGCTCTGTAGCTTTGCAAAATGGTATATGGTATATTATGCTCTGTAGCTCTTCTCAATTTCATTTTGTCTTCACCAGGACGGCCTTAAAGTTCTCTTCAGCTTCACTAAGCTTTAGACAAACTTCTGTCTGACCTTATGCTCCTGCCCTCCCTTTTCTTAGAACATTTACTTCAGAAGACTTGTAATTGTAAATTCTTTCTCTGCTCCTTTGAGATATGTCTTTCTAAAAGGTTCTTTCCAGTTTTCTAAACCTGAGAATACCTTTTTCAGGGATAAGGGAGCCATCCCTTTGAAATGCAGTCATCATCGAGAACAATAGTACCCCAAACGCCTAGTTTCTTTGGAATAGTAAGAATCTCACTCCTTTGGGGTGTCTTGCTCCAAGTTGTAAAACCACACTCCTGTCATTAAGTCACTAAGAAAAAAGTTTACTTTTCTTTGAGTAAGTCAATTAGCACACACAGAGGGCTTACAACTCTCCACCCCTTTGCAGCTCTTAAAAACCCTCCTGCTTTTTATTTCAGTGAAATTGAGTTCAGAATGAGTTGTGACCTCCCTCCTCTATTACAACAGCCTTGAATAAAGTCTTCCTTGCATGCTTAATTTTGTCTAGTGCAATGTTTGCTTTGATGGCCTGCACACAGAGAGATTTAAGTACCTATATCCAGTTTGTTTACCTTGCCCCCAGATCCTCTCATGAACAAGCATCATGAGCATAACCTAAGGAAACAAAGTACAATACCTTTTTTTTTCACATCCACAGCAGTGTCCTTATCCGTTTTCTTTTTGACATCTTCTTTTTCTGGTAATAAAATGAGAAAATTATAGACATCTACCTGGTTAATTCTCATATATGTCAGGGCACACATGACTGCCATCATGGCATCCAACACATCTACAGAGTAATCGGAAATCAGTGCCATAGTCTTGCCAAACATGAGTAAACTAACACCTTCATGACCAAATAGTGGCTCTGGTGTGTTTTCTCTTCAGGAAAGGAGAGGATTTTTGCTAAGCTCAAAATATAATTTCTCATGACAATGGAAACTTTAAAGATTTTATTTATTTATTTATTTATCAGACAGAGAGAGCACGCGCACACAAGCAGGCAGAGTGGCAAGCAGAGGAAGAGAGAGAAGCAGGCTCCCTGTCAAGCAAGGAGCCCGATGCAGGACTCTATCCCAGGACCTAGGATCATGACCTGAGCCGAAGGCAGCAGCTTAACCCACTGAGCCACTCAGGCGTCCCAACAATGGTAACTTTAAATGCCATTATTAATTATGGTCTAATTCAATAGTTTTTCTGAAAGGCATTAAAAAGAACATATAGAAAGTTCTCTGGGCTTATCAGGCCACCGGAAGCATGTCAGAAGCTCAGAAATCTCTGGAGATCACGTGGGATTTCAGAAGTACCATCTGAAAACAACCGTCTAAACGAGTGACAAGATATAGCAAACCAATCAACTAGTGTTTTCCCCTATACATTCAGTAGTTGTCCTTTTGAGAGACACTTTTTATTTAACTGAATGAATAGGAATGCTGGTATTTGTATTTGCAGTCAAATGAAGTCCTCAATTAGACTGAGCACCACTCCCAAGGAAGAAAAAATTCCATCAGTAAAAATTTGTAAAAAATGTTAAGGCGTGACTTTTCTTTTTAAATATTTACCAATTTCAACTTTATGTGGAATTTTTATAAATCTCAAGAATGCTTGTTAATGACAGTAACAATAAAATTATTAATTATTATTCATTCTCTCCTAGAAAACAAGAGCTTTGCCAGTGGCATTGTAAAGGGATACTAATTGACTTCCGTATTAGTTTTTAAATTACTTACCTTTCTTTTTTGTTTCAGAAGTCACTTTCTTCTCAGCTTTCTTCTTTTCCTCTTCTTTCTCTAGAGAAGAGAATTTAGTACAGAAAAACCAAGATTTGAATGAAACCTTACTGTTAAGTGAGTTCTGACTCCAGATAGTTTTGTGACTTTGAGAAAGTGATTTAATCTCACTAAACCTTATTTTCCTCATTTGTAAAATAATAGTACTTCCCTCAAAGTGAGCTAATGTTTATGAAGCACACCACACAGTGCCTGGCTCACAGTAAATGCATAAAATTGTAGGTTGCTAATATTGTTTATAAATAATGAACAAGATAGTTTGAGCTTTCTGAACCAAGCAATCGCCTGGTGCCTAAAGAAAGATAGTAATATATGACATTAAAACCTCATTTCTGAGGAAAGATACTGCAGGTAAGCTAAAAGAATTTTCTTTTTGTTTTCTTTTTGCATGTTCAATGTCATTAGAAATAATACACTAGGCCATAAACGATATCTATTTTGATTTAACTGTTTTTCAAATCTGCTTCTTGTCAGCAGACATTTGGAGCCTGGTGACATCTGTCTGGCAGTATGCTGGGGACATGAATTTCACTGCCCTTCCTGAGTGGTTGTATCAACGAGGGTGCTCAGGTTTTTGCACCCAGAGGTTGCGGAAATTCTGGGTGCCACAGAGATCGGCATGTGGTGCCTCTAGACTTCTCCATGGAAGATTTCTTTTTCAGAGATCTGACAAAGTCTTGGTCTGACAGCAGAGGGAACCTCAAATGCCTCACTGTAGCCAGGTAAAAACTGGATATTCCTGGACATGGTTCCGGTAAGTGTACTCATTTCAAAAAACAGAGTCCTGCAGAAGTACAGAGTTCTCGAAATGGAATATTCAGTGTTTTTAGGTTTGAGTAGGGTTAATGATGGAAACCAACTCATTTTTATCCTCAATTAGTACTGCTATTTACCTTATATTTGAAATATCTTTCTCTTTGTCACTTGTCTCTCATCACAAGTATAGATGCCAAGCTTTCAAAAATTTTCAATACCCAGAACTATTATGAGATTGTTTCTATGCTGAAGAAATTCAATGTCTAGTTCTAGTGTGAACGCTGAAGTTGTCTACTAATGATTGCATCTTATTAAATATAGGAATTAATTCATTCCCTTAGGTGTAGAGATTTTTTTACCTACAAGATCAAAGACAACACTTTCAGTGTTAGAAGTATAATTTATAAAGAACCCCTTCTCATGACTTCTAGAGATAAGCTCATGTCGTAGGAAGAAATAGATTCACACTCTGTCTAAATGTGTCTGTGGTATCACAGCTCATCCAGTCAGAAGGAGAAAGTCAAGAAGTCCAATTTTGATAGTTCCAGAGTTCCAAATAAATCAGTTGAATTCCACTTGCCTTTTCCTAAAGGTTTATGCATATTAAATATGTAAATCGTGTTTCAAATTCTGAATAAAGATACTTTTGATTTAAGTATCATTACTTTCAGCTTGTCTGGGAGAAATTTTACATAGCAGGGTATTTTCCATCTTATCTAAAAAAATGCATATGCCAGACAAGTGAGTTGGCATTTGCTAAATGTTTGAGTCAGAAAATGGGTTAATTAAAATACAGATTGCTTGTAAATATTTCTTAGCCCACATCAGACATCAATGCTGGAGTCACAATAAGATCACAACTCAGGATCCAAGTTTCAGTTTCCTAATGTAGAGGAATAAATATTTCATTTAAAAGTTCATGCCAATTAGTTAATCTTACACTGAACTTCAGAATGAAAGTCGATATCTAAGGTCATAAGATGAAAGATGTTCTTTTCATTTTTTTTAAAGAAGATACTCTTGTGCAATGAATCCTACTCTTTAAATTAATATAACTGGAATTTTATTGTGGTGATACAGTATTCTTGCCTTAGTTCAGATTGAATTAAAGCTTCCATTTACACTCTGCCTGTGATTATGGCCATCCACTGAGAGAGTCATGAATAAAAGCAGAAGTCCACAAAAAGCAGGTATAAATAATGTACTTTAATAACATTTTTATGAATTAGACCTTTAAGCTGTCATTATGGGGCTTACTTTATTCATGGTGAATTCATTTAAAACATCAACTTCTGAAGATTCTGCATTTCTTCAAGCACTATTGTCTCTATTCTATAGGTGACTTGGCAGCAGCAGAATTAGTGGAATTATAAAAGACACAACAATTTAATTATATCCTACTTAGAAATAAAAGTAACCCACGTTTCTTTTATGAAAATTCTCCTTCCTCAACAGTCAACAATACTCTTCCCTATCCACCTGCTATGCACCCAAATATTTAATTTCCTCCTCACCCTCTCCTCCAAATTGTTTTCTGTTTTGACTGTGGCAGCTAGAGAAGAGTTAGAACATTTAATACCATTGGCTTTCACAGGAGTAGCAATTAAATGTGTCTGTAGCCTGTGAACTTATCAGTGTACTGTCTTTCTCTGGCGAAAGTGTCATACGCCCTGAAATGATGGCTCTATCTGGCAGAGATCACAGGGAAGGCTGGTTGAGAGAGAAATCCTTTCCACAATGAGCAGCTCCGAGCCACAAATATGTTATTAGCTTTTGCATAAATTAACATCAGATGAAAGAAAAATTAAATGACTTACTTTTTGCTTTCTAAACCCTGACAATGGGCTTTTCTCTTGCTTTAAAATGTTTTTATGCCTTCTCAAAGCCAGAAAATGAACAATAGTCAATTAGAACTACGAAGCTTTCTTAGATGACTGTGCCCAGGAAAACGGGAAAACAAATGCAAATGTTTAATTTTTCATCTTATGTTTTGTTCGTCCCCTCTTTTCTTTTCTACTGTAGAGATTATCCAAATTTAACATGTCAGATGGGGGGCTCCTCTTCTAGACCTCTCTGGCCAGGATTGATGTATTCTTGGTTCCAGTCAAGTAAATAAAGGTGTGTTTCTTCCAAAACAATGTCATCCAACACATCTTGTCACTGTCACCTTATTTCTTTAGAGTGGCAGAGGCTGGCTTGGAACCCCGCTCAGACCGTGATCATGGGAAACTTCACACAAGCAGATAAGTTCAATGACACCAGTGATTGTTACAGTTCTCCACTGTTATCTTACAGAGGCATGAGGCAAGAGAGAAAGCACGGGTGCTAGCGGGAGTGACCTTGGTCTAAATTCTGTCTCTGACCCTTTCTGGTCGCAGAAAACTGAGCTATGCACTATGACACACTGAATTTTGTTGTCCTCATTTGAAAAACGAGACCAATAAAAACTACTTTGCTGGCTTGTTGTGAGGAATGGAGACACTGACCTGAAGTGCCTAGATCAGAAGGGATGTTCATAAAATAAAGTCGGCAGCAAGTAGCTGTTATGATACTTTAGAAACAATAAAACTTTGACCACATATAATCTTCAGTAATTTCTCTAGACAGGACATTTATTGATCTATTTGAGTAAATGCACACTAATATTCTTTTTTTTTTTCTGTACGAAGGCACAGAATACTTTATGAATGAGAAACTTCATGAATATAAATAAATTAAAATGAATATTTTATGTTGAGAAACTTCAGGAAAAAAGGAAATCAGTAGGATTTAAAATATTATGAAGGGGTGCTGGGATGGAATGAAGACGTGGATTCCGGTCTCAGCTTCACTGTAATTAGTAGCTGTTGCCTTGTGCTGTGATGAGTCCCTCTTCCGTCTTCAACCATAAAAGGCAGGGGAATGAGTAGAGTGTTCAGACCTCTCTCCACCCATTTATTCCTTCATTCTCTAAATGAAGCATGCTTCTTCTTGCATTTACTTCTCAGTTTTGCTGGGAGCAGGTAACTCAGAAAGCTTTCACTTTGTAAATAGCTACTGTAAGTTCTCTGGCTTTGTTATGGCTTAAAAAGTGTTAATTCCAGAGAAAAGTCCATTTTTAAGGCTTTAAATACATGTGTATGTTATGTATCTATATATACACATATATATGATATGTGTATATTACATATATAGAGTATGTGTACATGGTGTCAGGTGGGGATAAGGGTCAAGAAAAAATAGTGCATCTTAGAAGATTGGAGAATGAAATGGTGGAAGGCAGCATTGTTTTTTGTTCTGTTTGTTGTGTTTTTTTAAGGAAGAAGGGTAAATCTTTCCAAATGGGTAAGATCTGAAGAGAGTCATAAAAAATTGGGAGCGTTTTGGCTATCGAGAAGATTTTTGCAGCAGAGGAAAGCTATCTGCCAAGACCTTGATCATGGACTCTGTTGCTCATGGTAAAGATGGTCCCATTTTACTGTAAGATAAGAGACCACTGAGAGATTCCAAGCAGAGAAATCATATGATGCTGAGCTCTGTTTCAAGAGGAAATTTGGGGGTTGCTGGGTGGTGTTAAGTGCCCCACTGGACTTTGTGATCATGTTGTAAGGAAGAAAATTAAGAAAGTAAAAGAATTCAATACAAATATTCTTGTTCTTTTTTCTTTGTTTTCTTCCTCTGAATTTTATTTGGGACCCTTGAAGGAATCTAACGTTATAGAATGGTGCTAGGACTACCTCACTTTACATTGTAATTAGGTTGCTATGGCAGCAAAGCTCTTAAATTAAGGACTTCACTCGAATTATCTGGCATAACTAAACTGGCCTGTCAGAAGCTGAATCCATTATCTTTGCCTTGGCTTTTCCTTTAGTGATAGCTGAATTATCCTTGGAGGCCAGCTCTTCTCATTATCAACTATTAAAACAAATGATTCACAACCAGCAATTCAATAGCACCTTTCGCTGACTACCCGGAGACTCTTAAAATCACAGTTTGCTCAATCAACAGACATTTGTCCTCCCTCATGTCAAACCCCTGGCCAGGGTCTATGGTTTTGAAAAATTCCTTCCAGGAACGCTAAGTATGGGAATAAGAAGCAGGAAAGTTTACAGTTACAATAAGGACTTTGAAGGATATTAAAGGTAAAATCTAAGGGAACCATCACAGAGGCCCCAAACCAAGGCCAAGTGAAAGTATAAATCTACTTCTGGGGGAAGTAAGCACAGACGGAATCTGAAATGGTCTGGCTTTGACGGAGAGTGGTAGGTGTCACTACCAAAGCCCGCTGAAGACCCCAGGGGCAGAGACTGCGGGGGTCCTACAGACACTGGCTGAGAACTCTTTGTGATATCTTTACACTAACGACTAAAATGTCCCAGAGGACTCCAGATCTAATCACTGTAAATCAGAACTCTTTCAAGAGACCCTAAGCCAATTCATGAAGCCTCAAAAGGATCATAGAGAAGGGATCTCAAAAATTACTTTATGTGGTCAGAATCAGGCCAAAAAAAAAAAAAGTACTTAAATTTGGTTGAAATGTTATTTATTTCAAGGTGAGAGGAAATTACACTAACAGAGATGCCTCACGGACATCAGCATTGACTTGGTCCTCAGGTGAAAAGTCTATACATCCCATAACCAGTGAGAAAAATCGCTCAGCAAAGAGCCACTTGCCAACTTCCCAAGTCCCAGAAATGACACAAGTGTTCCAAACTAAGCATAACTGCACACCCTGTTCTCCCTGCTGCAAGTGAAAAATGAAGCTTGAGGTAGACGTACTCTATCAGACACTTGCAAGTGAACCGACCCCTGGCAGGACAGAAGTTCCTGCTTCTACCACATGCTTTCCAACAGCTTTCAGCCCCCTGACAGCCCAAGTGCTCAGACATAACCACAATTCTTCTCTGTTTTTGAATTTTGTAGGCAAAAGAGAATGCAAAGAGATACATTCTTTGATACATTTCAAATTGCAAAAAAGTATCTTACATTAACTAAACTTGATATTTAAAATGGATAAGG